CCAACCCTGAAGCCTTCTGCTTCTCACCTGAACGGCTGGGGTCAAGGCATGTCCCTAAACCCTAAACCCTGAACCCTGAACCCTAAACCCTAAACCCTAAACCCCTAAACCCTGAACCCTTAAACCCTAAAGCCCTAAACCCTAAACCCCAGGGCTGAAAGCCCTAGAGCCCTTGAGTGTAAAGCTCTTAGCAATGAAACCCTGGGCCCTCAACCCTCAACTTTAGGGTTTAGGGTTTAGGGGGACCCTAATCCCTACACCCTAATTCCCACTCCCTTTAGAAAGGGGACCCTAATCCCTAAACCGTAATTCCCACTCCCTCAACCCTAATCCCTAAATCCTAAACCCTACTCCCTAAACATTAAACCCTAATCCCTAAACCCGCGACCCTAGAGTTCATGGAAGGCTTCCTCGACCTGCGAGATGCCTGTCCTTTCGCGTCGGGGGCGGCGATGCTTTCTGGCTGGCACAGCAGAAGCTACTATAGGGGCCTGAATAATTGGGATAGGGTTTCGGGCCCCATTATAGCGTAATGATAATCAGGACCCAAAAAGTAGTATCGGTCATTATTCAGGCCCCTATATTACTGGCATTAGGATTTGGGGGTTTAGGGTTTAGGGATTTACGTTTTCGGGTGTAGGGTTCCGTGATTCAGGGCTTTTCACTGCAGGGCTCATCCGAATGAACCGGCCATAGACCCTACGCAATTAGGTACTTGGGTTTAGGATAAGGCTTTAAACACGAATTTTCCTTCCTACGGCTTTCTCGGACTTATGAGATGTTATAAGACGCGCAACCCCACTTAACATTTTTTTGTCGCTGCATTTTCGGGAGTACATGCTCCAGAGCCCCTCTGCGACAGGAGTCAGATGGATCCTTTTGTCTGAACCCGTGGAAGTGTTTGGGGTGTATTGTCGTTTCTTTTGAACACGGGCTCTGACAGTTCGAAATCGAGTATGTGTGTGGGGGCCTGCGCCGATTGCTAGGTGTTTGGAATTTTCAGCAGGTCTACTGTAGAACGCCAAAATCCAGGGTAGTCAGGGAGAATATACTGAGGGTGTAGGGTTCTTGTCATCATACCCAGTTTTAGGATTTAGGGCTACCCTTTGTAATTCCCTCTAGTTATCTCGTGACGCCGGAGCTTCTAGCGGCGGAAAATGCTCAGACGCCAGAGAAAACAAACCCGCAAAGTAAGGTTGGTGCTTCTGCGGGCGGTGCAGCTCTCGAGCAAGTTGGCCGTGCAGGAAAACTTTAAACGGTCGTGCACGGGGTTGTGTTTGTTCAGGTGCATGACGGCGTGAACATATGGCGAGTATAAGGACATTGGCGTGCTGACTCACTCATACGCTGACTCGTGCGCTGTTTGGGCTTGAGTTTCGTCCTTGCAAAGGGTTGCCCGAAACAGTCTATACGCAGAGAATGCATTCAGAGTCTCAGTACTAGTATAGAACAACAGTGTTAGGCCAATAAGTAGTTTCTCCGACGAGAAGAAATCTTGTGTCTCATTTGCTGAAACGATGAGTTGCTGGGACTCTTGAGTGAGTCCGATGTCTAGCTTGTTCTAGCTGGTTCTGCTTTGTTCACAGTGGCTTTGGTTTTTGGTTTTTGGAGCTTCGTCTAGGTCCAGGTAGGCTTGTGTTTTTCAGTTTGTCTGGACTGTGATCGCAAACTGGAAGTAGAGATCGGAAGGCCACCAAGCAGCCAATAGCGAGATCGGAGGCAGTGCTTGGCTTTGTGAAAGTGCAAATGTTTGCCAGGAGATATTGAGGCGAGAATGACGGATAGAATTCAGTAGCCTTTTCTTGCCTTTTTTTCTTGGCTTTTCACAGCTTTTCACAGTTTTGTCCTTGCTTTCCTCATGCAGTTTTCATGGAAATTCTGGGCTTGAATTCTACGGCGGGTGTAGGGTTTAGGTTTAGCCCTAAACCCTAAACCCTAAACCCTAAACCCTAAACCGTTGAGGGTTTTGGCATTCCTGGGCTCGGGTTCGCCATTGATTGCAGGAGAGCGACTTCTCCTGGATGCTCCTGGATGCCCCTCTGGCCCTTAGGGTTTAGGGTTTAGGGTTTAGGGTTTAGGGCCCTGGGAAGGGTGGAGGGTTGCGAGTTTGGGCTCTAGGGTTTTGACAGTTTAGGGTCTACCTGTAGCCGAAAAAACCTACCTTTTTTAGGGTTACCGATGATGGTTTCTATATATAAGTCCATAAAAAGGTATTTTTTTGGGGGCCACAGGTAGGGTTACAGGTTTAGGTTGTAGAGTCGTGAGTTTGGGCTTCAGGGTTGAAGAGGCCGATCTGGGCATATCGATTTCAGAAACAAGAGGGTTTTGGGCTCTGAGCCCTAAACCCAAATAAACTCTACACCCTAAACGCTATAAAGCTTAAACCCTAAACCCCAAACCCAAATAAGCTCTATCCCATAAACCCTGAGGGCCTCCAAAGCGGCAAACTCTAAACTCAAACCCTTAACCCTAAACCTTAGACCCTAAACCCCTATAAACTCTACACCCTAAACAGGGGTTCGAGGTCGCAGCTTGCGAGTTGAGGGGTTTGACGCAGGCCCCCCACGGGCCTCGAATACTGAGATCCGGGTGACCTACGGTTGGTGATAGAAATCCTGCACCATCCATAGTAGGGAATATGCCGTAATTCCAATAGCTTAGGGCAACAGTAGTATACGATGCCTCCGAAGAGTCTTTGCATGGGTTTGGGTTTCGGTTGGGTTAAGGGGTTTTGGGTTTAGGGGTTTAGGATTCAAGGTGTTTTTGGGTCAGGATTGACTTTACTATTTTTTTCAAAGCCACCATAATTCGGCACCCCTCTATAGATAACCCTTGTAGCAGCTTCATCCCTAGGTTTGAAAATTTAGGGTCCCTCTCTATGGCAGATTGGACCATCTGCAGGGTCCGGTCTCTTGGGAGGCCTGGAACAGAGGCCATTAGGGTTTTAGGGTATAGTGCTTTGGGTTTTCGGGTGCAGGGTTTCAGGCTTTAGGGTTGCTGGGATTCGTGCTGTAGCATGTGGCTTTGGGTGTTAAGGTTACGGGTTTAGTGTTTTGCGGTTTAGGGTTTCGGGAGCCACCGTAAGAACTCCAACCCAAAATCCATAGAGCTCAAAGCCGAAACACAAAGCCTGAGCTTAGGGTTTGGGGCCCAAGCTCAAATCCTTGACCTTAGATGTCATGGCAGTTCCGTGTCGGTGTTCATGTGGCAACCTTGGCTACACGATGCAGATTGCTGATCCTAGGATCTTGCAATCATCTGAACCCTGAGCCCTAACCCCTAAGTCTTCAAAGAAAGAAGCCCTAAGCCCAGACCCCTTTACCTGTTTCATTAGAGGATCTTGGGACGGAGTAAGTATATGGTCATAAGTACCTCAATTGGGGCTCTAAGTTACAAGTATAGTAAGTAGAGTTACCTGATTTAGAACCCGAAAAAAACTAAGTCCCATGATCCTTGAAGTAGCGGGACGGCTGGGCTGCCGTTAAGGAGCTTGAAATAAGATACTATAGTAAGGAAGCACAACTTTTATGTGTTATATAATCATCCCCATCATGGTAGCTTAAATGAAGCTCCCTCACTAAACCCTAAACCCTAAACCCTAAACCCTAAACCCTAAACCCTAAACCCTAAACCCTAAACCCTAAACCCTAAACCCAGACTGAGGCAGTGAAGGTGTGGGATGTCGTCAGTGGGTCTCGAGTCGGCGTGAAGCGGCGCCGGGTTCCCAGAGAGGTTTTAGGATTTAGGGTTTAGGTCGGTTTAGGTTGCAGGGTTTACGGTTGAGGGGTTTAGGACTTTGGGTTGCAGGGTTTAGGTCGGTTTAGGCTTTAGGGTTTAGGGTTTAGGGGTTTAGGTGGAGGGTTTAGGTAGGTTTAGGCTTTAGGGTTTAGGGTTTAGGGGTCTAGGTGTCAGTTAGGGTTTAGGGTTTAGGGGTTTAGGTTGCAGGGTTTGGGTCGGTTTAGGCTTAAGGGTTTAGGGTTTAGGGGTTTGGTTGCAGCGTTTAGGGTTTAGGGGTTCAGGTTGCAGTGTTTAGGTCGGTTTAGGCTTTAGGGTTTAGGGGTTTAGGTTGCAGGGTTTACGGTTTAGGGGTTTAGGGTTCAGGTTGCAGGTTAGGGTTAAGGCGTTTAGGTTGCAGGGTTTAGGGTTTAGGGTTTAGGATGCCTTTAAACCCTAACTAAACCCAAGTCCAAAATCCCAACGCCTGCAAGTCGCAATCCGACCATGAACTGGGAACAAACTTCCCGCCCATCCTCTACCCCAACATAGAACCCCCAAATGTTTAGGGTTCAGGGTTTAGGGTTTAGGGTTTAGGGTTCTGATGATGGGGATCCCCCCCTCCTCCCTTTCGAAGAACGCTGGTCTCCGATCAGGTCAAGGCTCAAGTCTCCTAACCAGAGGTCCACCGAAAGCGCGAAACCCGGGGGCCTTGGTATAAAATTCGGGTTTTGAATCTTAGGGTTTAGGGTTTAGGGTTTAGGGGTTTAGGGTTTAGGGTATACTGCACCGTAAAATGTAAGAAAGGAGCCCTAAGGAAATCGTTAATGGGTTCAGGCTTGTGCATGGGTAGTTCTCTAAAGTAGGGTCCCTTTCTAGGTCCCCAAACTAGTACGGCACCCTTGTAAAAAGGACCCCGAAAGGGATGCTAATTTAGAGAACT